CTTGCGACTACAGGATTTGTAATCAGAAATTGGGATGGGCATGTGATGCTTGTTGATGCCAAGAAAATTAGACAAACTTCCATTACTATTTCAGATTGTCTAGCTCTTAGGGATGGTTTGGCCTATGCTATTCATAAGGTTTAGCGTAAAATTATGCTTGAAGGTGATTCGAAACTTATCATTGATTGTGTTAATTAAGCTTCTGATCCAGGACATCCTCCTGCTTTCTTCTCTTTGTGATGATGTATCTTGCAAACATGTTTATAGGGAAGCAAACTTTATAGCTGACAGCCTAGCCTTCAACCTTCATAATATTTTAAATTAAAATAAATCTAATTATATATATATATATATATATAAAACTCTATTAAAATGGACCTATTTGTGAAAAGCCAATACTACGATGAATTTTCAGTTTTAATAATGGAAAAGTTGCACTCATTTACATATATATATATATTTGATGTGTGAATTACTCTTACATACTCAAACAAACTTATATACTTTGGAGAAAAGAAAACATAGGAAAGTGGATGGTATCATGGTGTGTTAAGAAACAAAGATTATAAAATGCATTATTAGTTTTAGTTCATAATTAAATATATAACTGAGAGAAACAGCAAATAATTAATTACCAAAAAATATTATTATTAACCGACAAGAATTTTATCAGAAAAAGGCAAAACCAACAAAGCATCAAATATCTAAATACGAGAGAGAGAGAGACGAATAAGATTTTTTAGGTTTTAGACATAAAAAAGTTTTCACTTTTGGAAAAAGCCAAAGTTTTTTCAAAAAAGACAAAAAAACCGCTCAACTTTCAAATCAAAGACATGCAAATGTATTGGATTCCTTAGGAAATCTAAAAATAAATAAGGGCATTTTTGTCCATTTTTGCTTCTTTTAAAATTTTTCTCTCTCCTTTTGCTTTTTTTAAAATGTCCCATAAGAATAATATGAGAAATGCTACATCCATTCCAGTCCAGCCAGCAGTAACAACAACAGCTAATCACACTCGAAAGACGCCTGGGCCTTGCTTGCACATGGACAAGCTGGGTCCGCCAACTTTTTCAACTTACCCATATTGCCCTTGCTTCTCAAAACCAACCCTTATCTTATTATAGCAAATTTTCCATCCACCTGCTCCTGCTCTGCATGAGTGGGTAGGCAGCACATGACCCGTTCTTTTCTTGGTCATATCTGAAAAGGGCAAAGGAGTCAATAGGCATATGTCAACCGAAAATGTTGACGTAAGGGGAGGTGGGACCCAGGGTTAGCCTGGCGCCAAATGGCAGAGGGGAGGGAGAGCTGTCTATTTTTCCTTCTTTAGCAGCGGACTTCAAATCTTTGTCCATTCCCATTTTATCGAATAAGGGCAAAACACACACACAAAACCCACGCCTTCATACACCCACACAACACCAACAGAGAGTTATTTTTCAGAGAAACGGAAGGATCAAAGCAAAAGAGATGAGGGAGATTATAAGCATACACATTGGGCAGGCTGGAATTCAGGTGGGGAATTCATGTTGGGAACTCTATTGTCTTGAGCATGGAATTCAACCCGATGGTCAGATGCCCAGGTCAGTTTATTTACTTTTTTTTATAAAATTTATATATATTCCATAATTTCGGTGGGTTTTGTCAAATGGTAGATGATGAATATGTTTTTGAGTCTGACTTTATTATTAATTTATGGATTATTGGGATTTCTTGGCATAGTTGTCTTTTAATATGTAGGTGTTTGAGATCTTCCTGTGTATAATATACTAGGGATTGCAGATGTGTCACTTTATTTGTCGATGAATCTATATATTGCGTTGGCATTTTGTTGGAGTTATTTAGAATGGATCTAAACTGAAGAATGGGATTTTGGAAATGTATTCAATTGAAAACTAAAAACAGCATAAAACAAATACAATAGTTTTCACTTCAATCCGATCGATGGATGGTGTGTATTTGCTTTCTTTGCAAGGTTTTGGTAATTGATATGTCTTCAATTGAGACAGCATCAAGGAACTTAGCTTGATATTCTATGGTTTTGTGAGAGGTACTGTAATGGTAATGATAAAACTTTGTTCATTTAAAAATAATAGTAATAAGTAAAACTCTATTGATTTTTTTTTCCCCTCTGAGTTCATGGATTTTTTTTAATAACATCATCTTATAGCAGACAATGAGGCGCTTGAAATGTGAACTGAAGCCTTTAAATTTGTTGGCCCATTCAAAACTGTGTTTTGTGTCGTCCATGTGCTTGCAATTTGAAGTTTGAATGTGTCGACAATTGTGTGCCTAATGGAAGTTATGGTTTTGTGTCTTCAAAGTGATGCCTCAGTGGGTGTTGGCCGCGACGCTTTCAATACCTTCTTCAGTGAGACTGGAGCAGGCAAGCATGTCCCTAGGGCCATATTTGTCGATTTGGAACCAACTGTTATTGATGAAGTAAGGACTGGGACTTACCGCCAACTCTTCCACCCCGAGCAGCTCATTTCTGGGAAAGAAGATGCTGCTAATAATTTTGCAAGAGGACACTATACAGGTAATAAATCCTGCATCTAAATTACATTAGTGAACTCTTTTATTATGTTAATCTCATTGATTTCGCCTTTATGGTTGCCTTCTGCAGTCGGAAAGGAAATTGTAGATCTCTGCCTTGATCGAGTAAGGAAATTGGCCGATAATTGCACTGGTTTACAAGGATTTTTGGTGTTCAATGCTGTTGGTGGTGGTACTGGTTCTGGTTTGGGGTCCTTGCTGTTAGAACGGTTGTCTGTAGATTATGGAAAGAAGTCAAAGCTTGGATTCACCATCTATCCTTCTCCGCAGGTACTTACAGCTACAAATATTATGATTTTCTGCTCACCTGCATAAGTTTATGCAGTTTCTTATTCACGCTTGGCAGATGAAACAGGATTTTAGAAATGGCCATCCTCAAATATTTCTTCTAGACTGTTCTGTTATTGAAGAATATTTCTATTTATATGTTAGCTTATATCCGATACAATAAAATTAACAGCACTAACCAGTTCAATAATGTGGAGCTCATCTATGACTTATTTCTTTTGCATTACAGGTTTCAACAGCAGTTGTCGAGCCTTACAATAGTGTTCTCTCTACTCATTCCCTCCTTGAACACACAGATGTATCTGTGCTCTTGGACAATGAAGCTATCTATGACATTTGCAGGAGATCTCTAGACATCGAGAGACCAACATACACCAATCTGAACAGATTGATATCGCAAGTCATATCATCTTTGACAACATCATTGAGATTTGATGGAGCCATTAATGTTGATGTCACAGAGTTCCAGACTAACCTTGTACCATATCCCCGCATTCATTTCATGCTTTCCTCATATGCTCCTGTTATCTCAGCTGAAAAGGCATACCACGAGCAGATCTCTATCCCTGAGATCACAAATGCAGTTTTTGAGCCCTCAAGCATGATGGCCAAGTGTGATCCCAGGCATGGAAAATACATGGCCTGCTGCTTAATGTACAGGGGGGATGTTGTCCCCAAGGATGTTAATGCCGCAGTTGCTACTATCAAAACAAAAAGGACTGTACAGTTTGTTGACTGGTAAGAACAAGCCTAAGAAGAAAAAATAGTAATTTGTTTAATTTTTATTTTTTTTTTAAAATTATATCCAAGGTTGTTGATCTAATGACTTTTGTGCCTGGATTCTGCAGGTGCCCAACAGGCTTCAAATGTGGCATTAACTATCAGCCTCCAACAGTTGTACCGGGGGGTGATCTTGCGAAGGTACAGCGAGCAGTGTGCATGATCAGCAACAACACAGCAGTGGCTGAGGTGTTCTCACGCATTGACCACAAATTTGATCTCATGTATTCGAAGAGGGCATTCGTTCACTGGTATGTTGGTGAAGGCATGGAAGAAGGAGAGTTTTCTGAAGCTCGTGAAGATCTGGCTGCTCTAGAGAAAGATTATGAGGAAGTTGGTGCTGAAGGTGTAGATGATGAAGAGGGGGGAAGTGAAGATTACTGATGTTGTGGTTATGCAAGACAAAGAGCCGTTCATCCATCTTCAACTATCTCTCTTCCTTTTGTTGTGTAGTACAAGAGTATCCATCTGAATGTTGTGAAGTTGTCACAATTGTCATTATGTTCTGCTTATGTGTTTAGTTTTTGGTATCAATGAAGTGACATTTAAAAAAATCTGAATGGTTTATGGTTCTATTTCACAAATATCACGTTTCCTTATTGTCACACATGCATTTGACTGGCATCAAAAGCCACATCAATTCGTTCATATATTTTGGCTTTCGCCATTTGGCAGCTGTATGATGTTTAGCAACCCATAAAAGTTCTGGACAAGTAAGAAATACTCGTATTTATGTCCTCCGTTGTTGCATTGCATAGGAACCGAAACCCTACCCCTTAACCTTTCCCTATACCTGAACTTAGCCAAGTTAATTAAGTTGAGGACAATATTGGTATAACATGGGCAGTCAGAATGAGGGCTCTTAACAAAAAAGCGAAGACATCACATATAGGAAATGTGGACCAAAAACAACACATCCCTCATTCATCATGCAGTAATGTTCGAAAAATTGCTAGGCGGTAGGCAGGTGGCAGACAAGGGCCTAGCGCCTAGAGGATTAATCGGGGCCTAGCGCCTAGAGGATTAATCGGGGCCTAGGCATTATTTATTTATTTATTTATTATTATCTTCTATCTATATAAAGCAAAATGCAGAGAATGGTGAAACATTCAAAATACCAAAAAATGTCATTGGTTAATTCAAACATTAAGAATTAAAATTATTAATTAAATGAGGATAATATGGTAAATTCACACTTTTTCATATTAAAAAAAAATTAAAATTAAAAACAAAATCAGATAATAGGTCATATTTTTATGGAACGTAACTACCCATATTATCTTTTCTTAATTCTAAAAATAAAATAAAAAATAAAAAAAGAAAACCAATTGGCACATGCGTGAGCGTGTGCCAAGGGGGCTAGTAATTATTTTGTATTATAAATTATCCCTTGGCTGGAAGGAACCCAAAGTGTAGTACCAATAAACAGTTTTGTCATCACAAGGGATGACACCAGATCTAACACCATTCCCAAAGAACCGCATGAAAATGGGATCAAAACCATGAGGGCTCTTGAAGTCGGCACGACCTCTAATAGCAGATCTCCCTGTAAATGCCGGCTGTTTGAAGCCAAGCCATTTCGCAACCACGGAGTTCAGTCCATCACACCCAACCAAGACCTTTTCAATCAAGGCGTTGATATTGTAAGTGATTAGATTCAAGATACTTATACGTATAATCGAAAGGCGGCCTAAAACATTATATATAGTAAGGCAAGGCTTTGCGTTCTCTCAACAATAAGAACTTCATATAGTTAATGGTGTACAATGTGCAGCTATCAAGGTTGAGATGTTCCTATGCACCAGATTAGTCTACCTTGGCTTTGAGGATGGTTCCATCAGCAAGATGAACCAGCTTAAAGTAGCCTGATTCGTCAATTGAAACCACCTTGGATGAGAACCTGATGGTGCCACTAGGGAGCTCATTTGCAAGAGCTTCCAACAACAAGTTCCTTTTCACACATCGAACTTCACGATCTCCGCTGCACATCAGTTAAACTCTCAAATTCTCAATCATCTGAGCATGCTCAAACTGAACGTTAATAGTCGTGTTATAAGTGATTTTCAATAGAGGGAAAAAATTAGAAAAACAGGAAAACAATATTCGGGGTCGAAAGGTATGCGAAAATGAGATGCAGCAACTAGAGGATTAGAAGCTACTGAGGAACTTAGACTGCTCTATGTATAAACTTACTTTTTTCCCCTGGCCTTAAATGGCATTTCAAATATTGGAAGCCCAGAAACCGTTGAGGAAGTCACATTCCTGTATTCAAAACTCTGCAATCAGTTTCATGTGTGCCTGTAAAGCAAGTAACTACTAGCTGAAAATATATATACACACACACACACACAAAGAGCAATTGTCCATAAATTTATCAAGCAAAACTAACTCGGTTTATTTTTTGGCTGTGTTGTCAAAGTGTTCAAACATTGACACAATAACATGTCAAATTGTCCAAAATGATGACATAATGTACCCAGGCGAAGAGTATCGCCAATACCGAGGGCATCTAATGCCTTCCATGCATTTGTCTATGTTGAGAATGCAAACCCTGCTGTCCTCAAACTATCCGATGATTCCAACACCAAGCTTCGGATGCCAAGCCTGCAGCCAAAAAAATTTGAATTTTGCTTGCTGCATAGAGTCATAGTGAACTACATGCTTACAATCATAACTTGTTTTAGCAGTACTAAAACACACACAGACATGCACAGATGAGAGAGAGAGAGAGAGAGAGAGAGAACCTATGAAGTCCTAAGTGAAAACATTAGAGAATGAGAAGAATCTGAGAGAATTGAAGAAAAAGATTTTGTTTTCTATTTCTGTTTCTTGCTAAATCAATCAATTACCAGCCTACACGATTCTTATGTATTGTTACATTGTAATCTTCTCGACTAAGCAATCTAACTAACTCAACAAATCACGACAGGACACTCGTCATCTTATAATAGGTACAAGTGCCTTTATATCCTATCACTAAGGATGTTGCAAGGCCAGCAATCCCAGCTCCTACAATCACAACTTGTGCTTCTGCTTCTCTACTTCCATGAATGATATTTGAGGCTTTTACTTTGGTTTTAGTGGAAACAGACTCACAGAACAAAGATATAGACATAGAAGGATGAGATGGGTATTTATATTATATTTTGCAGCGGCAATTGGATAGTGCTATGGTGGGAGTACAATTTAGATGACGATCACACCAAACGCAAGTGACAACAGCCAATGTTCAATCTGATCTACCTTTTCTTATCTATTATTAATGAACTTCAATTTTGAAGCACAAACCCCAATGATGCCATCAAATGCATTTTATTGTTTATTTAGCAGCCATGTTTTCTTTTTAGCAGCTATCTTTGAGCACTAGGAAAGTGTAATATTGTTTGTTGGATTCATCGGTATAAGCCGTCTTACACCCACTAAATCTTAATCTAATGGCATTTCTCTTTTCAACGTTAAAAGATGTCTCAAGTTCGAATCTTGTTTCCCCTGTTGTTAATAAAGATTAAAAAGAAATGTCCCCTTACAGAAACTTCATACAAATTATAAAATAACAAAAGAAAGTTCTTGCACTAATATGATTGACATATAAGGTTACATGCAAATCACTATTATATATGCAGAGGAAGTATCATTGCATTTAAGAGATGCTGAGCTTCCCACAATCAAAATCTGCCTTCTTCAACAACAAACCAGCCAGGATTAGAGATAAACATTTGTCCCTGAAGAAGTTCATAATTTTTCCATTACTATCTTGTAAGAAACCAGCCACATAAAATAATCAGACTCACAAAAAGTGAGCAAGAAGGTTTTGGTTCAATTGGGACAGTCTAGCAGGCCATGGCGGATCCAAGTGGCACCGACCCGTTATCCTTCAACTGCCAAGAGAGGGAGGTAGTCGTTGCTCTGTGAAGCCAGCCTTACGCAGTGCCCTCCTCTCTAGAAACCCAGTGACCCAGAGCCTTCGCTCAAGCCACAAGGTTCAACTCCTGGCTTGGAATGGGTGGGCCAGAAGATAGCCAACCCAAACCCGACCTAATACTAGGCCAAAGTTCCAGCATCTCAAAGCCCCCACTTGGGTTACAAGCTCACGTTGCGAAGCTCGGCGTTACAACTTCCTCGTGTTAGGCTTATAAAGTGTAGTTTTTTATATCAACCGAGCGATGTGGGATAAGTTGCAGGAGCGAGTGCATCTTGGCCTTCTGATAATGACTTGACTTTTGCAAGGGTTTTTAGGGGGAAAAATATAGATAAAAAGGAAAGATTAGTCTACCTTAGCTTTGAGGATGGTCCCGTCTGCCAGATGCACCAGCTTAAAGTAGCCCGATTCGTCAACGGAAACCACTTTGGATGAGAACCTGATGGTGCCACTAGGGAGTTCATTTGCAAGGCCTTCCAACTACAAGTTCCTTTTCACGCATCGAACTTCATGGTCTCCGCTGCACATCATTTAGACTCTCAATCATTTGAGCATGCTTGAATATTGATACTAACAAAATCAATGAAATAGAAGCAAAGTGATAGAATCTAGCAAACAATTGAAATCCAATATTAAGCATCAGTAAGAAATACTTTTAGCACTTATACTATTGATAAACTTACTGTTTTCCTTTGGCCTTAAATGACATCTCAAACGTTTGAAGCCCTGTAATTCTTGAGGAAGTCACATTCCTGTACATTCAAATCTCTGCAATCAGTTTCGTGCGTGCAAAAGTAGAACTTAGTAAGTACCAACAAACATGTTAGGATTGTATTTGTGTAACTAACGGTCGAGATTGGCAGTCTGAGAACATAACATGTTAGGAAATTACCCATCAAGTGTGACATGATGTTGGCGAAGAGAATTGGCAAGACCAAGGGCATTTAAGGCCTTCCATGCATTTATCCATCTTGTGAATGCAAACCCTGTTGTCCTCAAACTATCAGATGATTCCAACACGAAGCTTCCAATCCCCAGCCTGCACCCAGAAATTTCAATTTTGCTTCCAACCGTAGTAATATATGAACCATGAGAGAGAGAGAGAGAGAACCTGTGAAGTCCTAAGGATGTTGCAAGGCCAGAAATTCCAGCTCCCACAATCATAACGTCTGCTTCTGCTTCCATGTTGTACTTGATTATGCTCTGGAGACTCAGGCTTTCTTTTACTTGGGTTTTGATACAGTGTGGAAAGAGAAGAACAAAGATACACAGAAGAGACCAATGCGAATGAGAGATGACTATATTATTCATATTTGTGATGGGGATGTAAAAGACAGGCTTAATTGAGCTGAAGATGACGAATAATGATTGGCGATCAATATTGACAGCAGCAGACAGTGTTTGAGTTTGACTTCCCTTCTCTTCTTCTTCTTGTGCTCAAAACAGTTAAGTTGTCTGTTTTGACTGTGGAGGCAAATCAAAATAAACTCTGGGTTGTTTCAAGTTTAAAGCCGCAAGATAATCATCGGGAACTTCTTCTTTAGTTCAATATTTTTTCTTATGGTGGTATAATTGAGGAGTGCATGCTGACGTTTTTGGAGCATCGTAAACAGGACAGAAGTATAGCCGTCCGCCTATACTATTCTTAAAGAAACATGAGCAAAACCGAGTATAGCTGCTCAGATACCCGAGTATGGCCGGCTGGCTATACGATTTATAAAATAAATATTTAAATATAGCCGCTAGGCGATACCTTTCCAAAGAAATATTAATAAAAAAATAAAACCACGTATAGCCGTGCGGCTCTACTATTTATAAATAAAAAATGAATATAGCAGCACGACTATACTAAGAAGTTGTTTAAAATAAATATCGCCGCACGGCTATACCGTTTTTAAGAAACATTAATAAAACCAAGTCTAGCCCTATACTATATTTTTTAAAAAGGACCCGCCTTGCGATTAACGCCCACGTGTCAAAATAAGTATAGCCGACTGGCTGTAATACATTATATTTAATGGGTATAGCCGCACGGCTATACGATTTAATAAAAACATTTAAGGCAAAAGGACTTTTTATCTTTTCTAATTTTCCTACATCTCTTTTCTTCATTCTTGTCTCACATCTCCCTCTTCCTTTTCATTATTTAATTGAAAAACATAAACAAATAATCATTACATTTTATTTTTATTTATAAAAAATGAAACAAGGACATACCAGAACGGTTATTTTTCAACATAAACAAATTATATAACATAATATAACCACCAAGGGAATGAAGAAAATCTCACAGTATCAGAAGAATCCACCACCAACCTCAACTGCTGGATGAAACATATTTTCAACAATAAACAATGAGATGCCTAATATCAAGTACTTAAATTTGAAGGGTGCAAAAGTCAATCGGGATGGTCTTGTCATGTTGCTGCGCGGATGCAAAGATCTGGTGATGTTGGACACTAGAGATTGTTCTGGTTTCGATGAGAATGACGATGAAATATCAAAACTTGCATCTCATATTAGTAAATTTATGTGCGAGGTTTCTGAATTTCATGAATTTCTTTGTGGTATGGACAATTTTGTTCTTCCTGTTGATGGATACTCATTTCATCTACATGTGGAGGAGACTTGGGATGAAATGCTCAATGATTTGCGCAATGCGTTCAATGATTTGGGCGATGAGGAATGAAGAACTATTTGATTGTAGTAAGCGATATCTCATCTTTTTTATATTTACAACACTAATGAGCAATTATGTGTGTTGAGTGTGGTGTTCATCGTGTGTTTTTGGACAATGTTACTCTAAAGAGGGCTTGTTATAAGTTCCTATCTTGATTTCATAATAAGATGTATGCTTAATTTGGAAAATGGCCATTCTAAAGTCTTTCGCTACATTTTCTGTAATATCACATGTGCTTGCGATTGTAGCCTTGCCTCTGCCTTTATTTCTATCTTAGCTTTCCCTTCCCACCAAAGGTTTTCCTAGCTAAATTTCTTGGTGAAAGAATGTTGGTTGCACCAGCTTAACAACAGGCACAACCAGTAGAAAAATGAAATAATATGTTATATTTAAGAATGAGATGCTACTTCTCATCTAACACATGTTGTTTGAATTCTCATTTAGAATAGTTCATATATCAATGTCATATGACCTCTGATACCTCCAATTAATTTCAAAATAGAGTTGCAAACTTCCCTTCGCTGTCTCGTTAGATTGTTTTATATCCAATTTTTCATCTACATAGAATACAACGCGAACTGACATATCTCATAGCAGAAGAGCATGGTCGTCAAGTGCAATGAGAAAAAATGTTGTAATTTGGTTTAGTTCATAATTACAACAGATACATTTTAGAAAGTAAATTGCTATGCAAGCAATTTTATACTATGAAATTCAAAATTCTTTGATCCACAAAACGTTGGCGGTACCTTATTATTATTATTATTATTATTATTATTATTATTATTATTATTATTATTATTATTATTTTTAATATTTATGGGTTTAACCTGTATTATTTGTTAGAAATAAAATTCATTTTTTAATCTTGCCCAATGGGCTAATAGCTGAAAATCATTAGACTGAGATGTATCAATAAGAATTTAAATTCTCATTCCCCAATATCGCTTGTATAAATAAAATAATTGAAGAAATAACTCTAGTCCACCCTAAACCCTAAAATGATATGACAAAATTGTATATTTAAAAATTTATAGCCGCACGGCTGTACTTTCTAATTACATCCAGATATTTTAAAAGTATAGCCGCGCGGCTAGACCCTTTAAATATAATCCAAACGAACACGAAGCTTGCACTCGCATTGGACGGAGGTTGCAGACCCAGTCACAGGCACATCCATTTCGCTTCTCTATCAACTCAAGCTTCGATTTTCAAAACCAGAGAGGCAGCAGCAAAATTTTTCTATAGAACTGAACCTACCTATCTTAGAAAATGGTGGGGCAGAAGAGTACAAAATTAAATAGCTTGCCACATTTTTGTTGCTGGTTCTTCCTCACATATAATAGCAGGGTTAGGCCCAGGATCAGCAGTCCAGTAGACAACACAGTACTGGTTACTATGATCTTTGTATTGTGTCCTTGATCTCGGAATGAAGTATTTCAAAGCAGAAGATTGAGGAGTCAGAAATTCATAAAGAAGAAAATCTTTACTTTTTATCATCCAACGAACAATTAATGCTAGTTTCTGAGACACTTCTAAAGAAATATTTTTCTAATAATGTCAAAAAATTTCTGGCTCTATCTTGTTTCTAATCATGTCGCTGTTGGAAGATTTCTTTCTTCTTTTTTCCTTGGTGGCTTTTATTTTTCTTTCAAACTTTGTTTTAAACAGCAAGATGATTCCATACCTAGTTCTGATGAAGCCATTCTTATGTAAATATCTTGCCCATTTATATTGGAATATCTTATATCAACCAGATCGCTGAACCACAGCAAGCACCCCCTTCCTCCATCTCTGATATCCAAATTTGAAAAAGCGGTGCAGGAGCAGTTGTTCATGCACATCATCGATCACATTCCTTGAGGTTCATACTTGTGTTATACCAGGATTGTTCTGTACTTGGCAATTTCACCCCAGAGTACTTCTTAAAGATGTCTCCACTGCAATTCAGTTGGCTCTTTCTCACACAGCTACATGAACAATCCACCAAGTCCCAGTCTTGTTGAAAGTTCGGTATAAATCCTTTCAAGCAGCTACTTTCTGGGGACTTGTCAATAATACATGCACCATTCGGACCACATATTCCATATTTGTCACAGATATCAGTCATTGCTATTAGATAAACGACCCAACCTTGGTAATCAAAACTCTGCCATAAACTTTTATCAGGGTCATTATGTTATGACCATTGCCATCTATCACAACAAGATTTCCGGAATCCAAAAGCTGTGCCACTGGATTCTGTGCAGAACTTGATGTGTTGGAAGACCTGTAGTGTTCTTATGGTCGACTGCTCAACTTGAGTACACCTGAAGAACCAATGAGGGGTGTGTTTCTTTTAGTCTGCACTATATACGGAGAGTCTGACTCTAATTAGAAGATAATTGTATTAATTTGATAAAGCTTTGTCTGTAACTGTCTCTCACCTTAAAAAATTTCACAATTAGCAGCATTAGCAATACTTGATTAGAAAGTAGAAACCCTACAGTATATAGTTAAGTTGAGTAGCTGGGAAGACAATTAGTAAGCTTTCAATACTAAAGTTGAATAGTGGGGAGACAAATTACTAAAGTTTCAAGGACAGATAAATAGGATGAATTCCTCGTAAGGGATCCCCTTTCACTGTAGCTTGGAGTAGAATTCGTTTTGACACGATATCAATTATCAATGTAAACACGTTACGGATGCATTATCGACAATATCGATGCACGTCATACCAAATTTAGATGCATAATTGAATGCAAATAAATACATTCGGACATTTTAACAGTATAGCCGTTCGGCTATACTGTTTAAATATTAATATATTCGAATATTTTAAGAGTATAGCCCATCGGCTATACTCTTTGAATATAATCCAAACGAACACGAAGCTTGCACTCGCAGAGGGCGGAGGTTGCAGACCCAGTCACAGCCATTTCGCTTCGATTTTCAGTTTCGACTGCTTCGTCCTCCTGGTTCTACACCGAAAAAAGACCCAACCCGCCTAGGAGGCCCGCCCAGCCGCCTAGCGCCCGCCCCGCCG